TGCGGTGGCCGGGAGCGGCCACTGCACTCCAGTCTGGGCGACAGAGTGAGACTCCCACTCAAAAAAAGAAAACTGTCTCTTATGCCGGTCCGGTTCCTAGCACTTGTGCAGGGCTCAGCCAGTCAGGTCGGCCCACTCTTTCGGCCTCAGCCAAGGACTGCCTGTCAGCCTCGTCTTTGCCACCACAGGGCCTCCAGCTGTCAGGACCAGGAGGCCTGGCACCCAGGGATGATTAGATAGGTGTCTGGGGGTGAGCCCAGAGCCCCGGGGATCTCCACCCCACACCACAGGGTGACAGGGCTGCCAGGGAGCACGGATGAATCCCAACTGCCTTTACTGCCCCCCCACCACCCGATGGTTTCCTTAACCAGGTTGCTGAGTTCTTGTGGACGCTTCAAAACCACAAACACCTGGCAGTTCCTGCCGCTAAAAGAAGTGGCATGAATCGCCCACATTGAGAGCCTTCTGTGTGCTTGCGTCCGGCAGAGGGCCTGTTCAGGGTCAGAAGGCCACTGACCACGGGAAAGAACGAGCCAGGCCACGCAACACTAAACCGATGTCCCTGAGAAGAGCTTGCCTTTGTAAGAGACACGAAAATGTCAACGCCAGATTTCTTAATTCACGGTCACCTAAAACAGGGTTCTGTATTTGTGAGGCATAGCTCAAGAATACTCATCTGTGGCAGCGAGCTACGCTAAGGGGGGGACAGGGAGGGAAAGAGGGGAACCGAGGTGGGCAAAAAGGAAGGGAAGGTGAGAGGCACCCAGATGGGGAGGGATGGAGAGCTCTTGGGACCCGGGAGAGAGAGCTACGGAGAGGTGAGGGAAGGAGGCGGGAGGGAGGACCAGCAGAGGTCACGGACTCCTAGAGATCCCAGAGGGGTTGCCAGTTCTCTGTTCCAAGCCTTGGCACTCACCCAACGCACCTCAGGCAAGAACCCTCTGGGCTAGGCACCAGGACCAGGCGCTAGAATGTGGCAAGACACGAGACAGGCCGGCCCCTTCCCCAGAAAGCCCACCGCCCAGCAAGGAGGACAGACGTCACACAGAGATGCTCACATAATCACTCACCCCAGCGACGAGTTCTCTGAAGGAGGCCAGGGCTGGGAGAGCGGCTCTCGGGGACCAGCCTCCCCTGAGGGGTCTGGGTCAAGACACTGCAGCGAGGCTTAGGGGAAGTGGTGAGGAGGAAGGATGCGGAAGCAGGAAGGGGTGTGGCCCTGGAGGCCAGAGAATGCCCTCGTCCCGGGAGGCTGGAGGAGGCAGGCCTCCCCCAGGGCCTCTAGTTGAGGCTGGGAAGGGAGCCCAGGAAGGGCGAGGCGGAGCCTGGGGACTGCTGCATGGGGTGGTGGGTGGCCTTTCTGTAAAGGGAGGGGAGGATGAGGCCTCCAGGGTCTGCGAGGCCTCACTGCTAGGGGTCTCGGAGACTCTGGAGGGTGGGGGCAGAGGCCAGGTGCAGAGAGCTGACGGGTGGGGGCAGATGGAGGCTGTGAGGAGTCTTCAGGGAGTGAAAGGCAGGTGAGGACTGGCAGCATCTGAGCAGGGGACCGCTTTCAAGATGGAGCAGCCCAAGAGGAAGGCAGAGGCACGGGGCTGGCCGAGCTCCCCTCCCTGTCCCACGGGCCGGTGTGGGGTTCCTCCGGCCCTGGGGTGAGGTTGGCATGGCATGGAGTGCCTGTGTGCAGATTTGCCGGGCATCTCACCTAGACACTCATCCCAGGCCAATCCTGTCCCCCTCACCCCCGGCATCTGCGCCCAGACCGGCAAAGGTCACCCCTGAGCATGGGTCACACAGCCCGTCCCCTTCCCTGGCGCCCATCTCTGGGCGAGGCAGGAGAGCCTGCTGGGGCCCGGGGCAGCTTCTGAAAGAAGGCCAGGCTAGGCTTTCAGAGAAGCCGCCGCTCCTTTCTGTGGCCCTGGGACTCAGGGAGGACCGGGGAGGTGAATCTTCATGGGCGGCAGAGACCTTCGAAATCTGTGCCCAGGACAGAGAAAGACAAGACTGCGGGCCAAGGGGAGAGGCAGAGAGAGGGAGGATGGAACACCTTCTGTGCGCGCAGTGGCTTTCGAGGTCCCGTCCCAGAAACACAGCTAAGGCATCCCAATGTGAGAAGCATGGGGTGGAGGAGGTGGGAAGCCGGAAAGCTCCCACCGCGTCCCTGAGCACCGTCTCCATCCGGTATGAAGCAGTCCCACTAGCGCTGAAGGTCGCGTGATGAGATGACAGCCGTTGGCGCTAGGAGGAACGGACGCCGGAAGGGTCAGTGCGAAAGCGAGACCTGAGACTCGGAGGAAACGGTGCTCTCCCCCGCCCCTAGCCCCTCCGGAATCAGGCAGGCTTCATCTGCCATGAACCCGGTGGGTCAGACGAGCACTTGCAATGGGGGGCGCTCCTTGAGACCTGCTAGTATTCAGCTCTCTCAAGGAGAGCCCCCCACGAGGGGAGCGGAACGCTTCGAGTGGCCAGTGGCGCCATATTGGTCGCTTAAAGTGGATTGCGGTGTGAGTCTCTACACCACGGGGAGGGTCTCCGCCACAGGTCAGGGCTTTCCCCCAGAGAGCCAGGTGTCCGCCCACGGCAGGCCTTCGGCACACACCGGCCCCTGGCTCCTGACCCTGACCTCTCCCTCCGCAGTGAACGGGAAGGCCACGGTCACCATCGAGAGCTGCGCCCCGACGCTGTTCATGTTCATGCTCAACGGCAAGCAGGAGCACGGGCTGCTGAGTCTCCGGAAGAACGGGATGAAGCTGGAGCTCTACCCGCCCACCGCGGGCACCCACAAGCTGCAGATCTTCGCCAAGGGCGGCTCCGACATCTACAGCTCGGTGCTGGAGTACACGATCGTGTGCAACTACGTGGACACGGGCGTCCGGCTGCCGGCCGAGCTCCACCAGCCCGTGGGCCCCAGCTGGTTCTCGGAGCAGATGGGCATCGTGAAGCCCTCCCACCCCGACCCCATCATCCACACCCGGGACGGGCGCTGCTCCGTCAGCTTCGGCGTGGAGGAGGGCGTCAGCGTCCTGGCCTCCCTGCACGGCGACGACGGCCCCGTCACCGAGGAGACCCAGCGGCGCCACATCTTCCAGCTGCAGCGGGAGAAGCGGGCCGAGCTGAAGGTGCAGCTGCCCCGGGCCGGCAAGTTCGCGCTCAAGATCTTCGTCAAGAAGAGGCAGGAGCCGGGGAACTATGTCTTCGTCTTCAACTACCTGCTGTGCTGCGCCAACGCCAAGGTGAACTGGCCCATGTTCCCCGAGAGCTTCGGCAACTGGGGGCAGGACAACGAACTGCTGGAGCCGCTGTCGGGCGTGCTTCCCGCCAACCGGAACGTCCCGTTCAAGCTGAAGCTGCACGGCATGGCCAAGGTCCTGGTGAAGGGCCAGGACACGTGGCCCCTGACCCTGAGCCCCGAAGGCTACTGGGAGGGCAGCTGCAGCACGGCCGGCTGCCAGGAGGTCTACGTCATGGTGCTGGAGAACGCCAACCACAACTTCTACTCGTACATCCTGAAGTACAAGGTGAACGCCCAGTGAGGCCAGGGCCCCGGCCGCGCCCTCCCGGAGGGCCCCGGGGACGTGCAGAGAGCCTGGACGCCACCGAGTCTGCATGAAGTCCCTCCCAGGCCTCCGCCTCGGTCTCCCTCCTTTGCCGCGGGAGCGGCGATCTTTGTGTTCCGAAGACGTCCCTCGGCCGTGGCCGAGGCCCAGGGGACAGAGGCCAAGGTTCTTTAGAAGAAAACGGTGCTATGTAAATCCAAGGTATTGTAAACTGTACAGCAGTGCCCAGACGCCCCTCCCGTATCATTGCTGTCGTCGTCATTGTTCTAGGTCGATGTGGGGAAGCGAGCGTGTGCCCAGGCTGAAGGCTCTCCATGCGACGCCTGGAGAGTCCGCCTCCATGCCCAAGAGAGACGGGACTTGCAAGTGGAGTCATCCTTGAACCAGCGGCCTCTCGGTGCTCCTCGCGGCTCCGGGCCCCCCGGGAGGGTTGGACCAGTGCCCTCTCCCAGCCTGACCGCCCACCTCATTCCTGCTGCCTGTTCATGAGCTACTTGCTCTCAAGAGCCCTAGGGAGACGGTGCAGAGAGGAGGCTGCCCGACCCACAGCTGGCCGGAGGCTGATGGCCCTACCACAGGCCCCAGGTGTAGCCGGGAATGTGTCAGCCGGAAAGCTGCGGGGAGACTCCGAAGCAAAGAGCAACCAGTGCCGCCCCCCCCCCCCC